GGGACTCCGCTCCCGCCTCCCCCAGCCTGGCGGGGACCAGGGAAACCGGTGAGATGCCTTCCGTTTACCAGCCTTGAAATCGGAGGTGAAATTTTGCGGATTTGTCTTATTACTTCTAAAGGACTCAGATCCCGAAGCTCCCTCCGGTTTCTGTAAGGTCGCGGGAGGCTCGGGCGGGTGGCCTGGGCGCAGAGGGAGTGATCCCGGGGTTTGGGAGCGCCCTCCGCGGCCTCCTCCGCCGCCGGGCCGTTAGTTGGAGGGCGGGTGTCCGAAGCGGGTGTCGCCGGCCTCGGCTCGGCAGGTTGAGGGTTTAGGGTCCAGAACAGTAGCCTGATGGGTGTCAATAAAGCGACCCGGTTGGCTAAGGCAGCCCTCGCCTGGGGGAGACGCGGAGCCCCCAGGGCGGAGCTGGGTGGAAGGGAAGCGGGTTCCTTGGCAGTCGCGGGACTAGACGCGGGGATGGAGGGGACGGTGGAGCCATCCACAGAGAGTAGCCTCCGAAAGCCGCTTCTGGCCGCATCTAGCCTGGACCCTTGGGCTCTGGGATCTAAGGAGATCAGGGTAGCAAGGGCATGGGGTAAGGGGAAAAGAGGAGGAATCATGCCAGATTCTTCACTGTGGACCCTGGGGCCAAACTCCCAAGGGTCACTGGCAGTTCCCCGTGGTTGATTCTCCCCCATCCTCCCCCGTCCCCCCAGGCATCCGTTCGGATTCCATGTGTGGGTGGGGTGGAAAGAGAGGAGTCCAGGTCAATTAGAGCTGGTTATCTCCCTAGGTCTTATATCAGAACAGAAATCAGAGTGGACTGTGATGGACAGGGGATGCTGCATTCTGGGGCAAGTTCCATTTTGCACTTGGCTCAAGAAATGTATGTGTGTGTTTTTTAACCGTCCCATTTCTCCTTTTATAAACCACCCATTTTTTGTAGGTTGTTTTCTTCTTGAAACACGAAAAGCTCAGAATATTGTAGAAATTTAAATTTCTGTACAGGAGATATCTTCTACAATGTTCGTCATCCAAGGGCCCAGAATTTTCTAATTAGCCTTTATTTTCAGCCCTCTTCCCTCCAAAAAACCCCAAACACACACACACACACACACACACACCCTGTCTAATAAGCATATATATTGTTTCTACAATGCCACAAGTCAGGGTATGTGAAAATTTAAGGATAAATGCCTGCATTTTAAAAGATAACATTTAGATGTTTGATGGTCTGCATTCCGTTTGTTCTGCTAAACGTGTTTAAGTATAACTGTTTTGAACTATTCTTTTATACTTATGGTGCTGAATTGATTTTGAACTTTAGTATTTTAGATAAAAGGATGTTTTTGGCATACAGATAGGATGCAATTTAGTTTGACCTATTCTCAGATTTTGGTTGCACTTAGGGCTCTGTGCCACCACCTTTTAAAAATTACTTTTGAAAAGAAATTGCTTTCTTTGCTATTAATCATATTTATTGTCAATTAGGGTGATTTTACTTGTAACCAGCAAACAAAGCCATAGTTAACACATGACCATACTAAAGTAAATATTAAATACGTATTAACTGAAAAAGAAATTGAGTTAACCTAAAACGTGAACTCGCATACCTGTGCTTAACAGAATCCAAATAGCAGGTGATAGCTGAGACCCACTTAATATAGAAGTTTTGTCTCTGCTGAAAAGGAGGTGTAGATATTTGGAACATCCAGATATAGACAACAATTTCTGTTTCCATCAGAATGTTAGTAACAACAGACTCGCTTTACCTTTCTTTTGAGGTAAGAGCCTGTGAGCAGTAGACTTGCTACACTTGCAACAAAAGCAAATACATCTGTAATGAAGAAATAATATGAAGAAGTTTTAAAAGTGATGAGAACAATTTGGCTATGATAGAGCCATATACAAAGTAAATTATAGTGTTTTTGGGTAGATAACAGACAGGTAAATGCTCTATCTTAAAACACACAGAGAACTGAATTGTTGAGAAATCTGATATTCAAATCAATACAATATTTATTGAGCCTGTATTTTATGTCTGTGATACTGAGCTCACCACTGTAGAGAATCAGAAATGAATTCAATGAACTGTGTTTTGATATGTTCGTTTAAAATAGTGCTTCAAAGTGATATTAACAACGTCTTGTATTAAGTCCTAAGTAATGTGTTAGTGTTGTCCATCTGATCTTGTTTAGGGATTATACAAGGATACTTAATTTGTTGATACTCAACTCCAGCATACTTTAAAATATGTCAAGTTGTTTATCAGCATTGTATTTTTAACAAAGTTCTGCAGTTTTGAAATGTTCAGTCCTCCCAGGTGTCAAGGAAATGGAAATAAATATTTTTAACATTTCTTTCAGGTGTATCTCACCGAAAGCTTAAAATAGTTAAGACATACTATTAGAGGATCCCAGGCCTTTCTGTCCTTGAAATTCTAGTGACAAAAAAGCAGTTTGCAAATTCATCACTTTAGTTAATGGTCAGATAGAAAAAGAGAGAGTACGTCAACCCTGCATCCAGTAGCACCCTTGTAGTTAGGGGTCTGTCAGCATTTCCACCATGAAGCCTGGTGTTCAGGGTTCATAACTCAGTTGCTTTAAATAGCTTCAAGCTGAAACACTATGCAGAAATTTTAAGTCCAGATGTATATTTTAAAACTATAGTAAGCGCACAGTTACTGCGCTGTTTTAAGTTAGAGAACATTGCACTATATATTTACCAGTATCAAATGTTTTTCTGGCAATGTTAAAGAAAACGCATTTTTAGATATATGATCTATTACTCATAGTTAATTCTGTATGCTTAATGATAGCTTTCAGTATTTGTCATAAGTAGGGTTTCAAAATGATGGAGCAATTTCTAGCTGAAAATAATTTTTTTGACATAATTGGCCTATTTTCAGAAACAAATATGCAACTAATAAACAGTTGACACTAGTGAGTTGTATTTTCCTTATATATTTAATGATCAGATTTTTATGTTTGTGTCTTTTTAATATAAATATACCTAAATAAAGAAAAACAGGTTATTAAACCGGTTAATACCTTATTAAGCCTACCATGAACCGTTATGCAAAATTATATAAATCACAATAGATTTCAAGTTGTGTGAAGATAGACACATTTTTGTGTTATGCCTTTAAATACAATCCAATTATTTAAAGTTAAAAATGTTAGGATTGAATATATGAAACTTATTGGTAAAGTAATTGAAATAAAAACTTTCAGATGGAAACAAATATTAAAAAAATGTTAGAAAACTTACATTTGAAAACAGGCATGACAAGATATCTTTCATTATATTTTCCCTTTGTCATTGCTGTGTTCGTATCCTTTCAAAAAATTTTCAGAATATCCATTGTTAGATGATCTAAACCAGCTTAAAACATGGCACATATATTCCTGGTTTAAATTGGAATAATTTTAATCTCAATTTCCTCTTTGACAAATATTTTAAAAATTATGAAATGATACTTTATATTGTATTTACTTTTTTTCTCTACAATTCAATGGTTGTTCCTAAATTCTAGGTTAAACTTGAAAAATTAACTTAATATTTGTGAAAGTTTTTGATAGTTTATTTAAAGTTATCTTTAGATAATTACCATAGGATTAAAATTTTTCTTGTTGCAACCATTTCCGTACCTTGCTTTTTATTCCAAAGAAAGATTTGATCAGATTCTATCTTGAAAAATAATTATATTTCAATTTTCCTGCAAGTACAACATGCCAGATCATATTGGTCTGTAAGAGTAATTGATTACTTAAGACTAGACTTCTGTTCATGGAAATGTAATGGGCAATTTTTATTTCCGTATAATAAGACCACAAAAACAATTTTAAGAGTCTGAGTTAATTCTCCATTGCTCCTCTTTCAGAGTAATTTACAGATTTAGTCATAAGGAATCTTATACAAAATTTCAGTAGTGTTTCTAGAGTTAAAGAAATACCCTTTATTTTGTACAAGCTGCATATCATGTGATTTAAATACTGGTTATAGTGAGGTGTGCTAAATAAAGGAACTTCTTTCTCAAGTCTGAAATGTCAGGACGTAAAATTACTTCTCTTTCCCATGAAGTTTCTTAAATTTGTAGAATTTATGTTTTAAAAACACGTAAAAATGTAGTTGTTAAGGTTTCATCACAAATTATTCTTTGTAGAACAGAACTTTTGTATTGGGTAGCACGGAAACAAATTTTAATGTGTGCTTACTCCTAACTGGTTAAGGAGCAATTTTTGTCTGCTCTCTCTCTCTGCCCCTTAAAATGTTTTCCATTGCTTGGGTTTGGTACAGATGAAATGTGCAAAAATTTCTTGATTCTTTTGGTTTTCTTTTAGATAAACATAGTTGAAAATCTTCAAGGGAAACTTTTTAGCTTCAGAAATCTACTCTAAAAAAATCTCAAACATATAATTTTGCTTCTGACTGATATAAACTCAAATACAGTACTCCCTTCCCCCTTTTGCCCTCAGAAAAACATTAGCCAATGTGATTTGGTAGCGTATATAGCAGAAAAAAATAACCCAACATATTTAACCATTAAAATAGAGTTCAGCCATAACAGGAAAAGTTGTCAGTATATCATTTTAGTTAGCATTTTTTTTTTTTTAGGCCAAGTTCTAAGCCTCATAGAAGACACATAATTTGTGATTACCTATTTGTTTTCTTATTAAATATAATGCGTAAGACATACCAGTATTTAATATGGTCATTATTATGCTGCTTAAGCAAAGTAAAATGGATTTATGTATTTCACTCTTAGGGATCTTTTTTTTCATATTTTCCCATATTGAATCAATTTTCCTTTTCTTCTAACTTAAAAAAAACACAAAACCCATTATGTTAAAAATATGCAGTAAAATAATAATGTCCCAGAGCTCTTGAAAATCTTCATATCGGGGCAGATTTCTTTACTTTCTTCTGAAATTTAGCCAGACTGGAGTGAAACCCATCAGCAGTTATCCTTCATCTTTCAACAGCAACAAAAAACATCCCAGGACATGAAGAATTACATATTCAATAGAATCCTTTAAGGATGCTCATAAGTAAAAGCCTGTATTTACCACATAGCAGACTTGGAATAGAAGTGAGCTTCCTCATCTTACAAAAAGTACATCATTATAATTACACTCTATACTTATGTAGTTTCTTCTACATTTTACAGACTTAAAAAAGTTATTTCCAATTTATATTGGAAAACTGTGGTTCCTGGAGATGAAGTGACTTGTATGAGATCATAGCAGAGGTGGGAAAAAAGTGGGGCCTCTTGAGTTTTGGTGCATTCATTCTCTTCTAAACAGTACAACTTTTCTGCCTTCATTAATACACTTACTGGTTCCATATTTACGTTGACATAGAATGCCACACACACAGCAGGTGTTAAAACGCAATATGCTGAGTGTAAAAATGTCAAACATCGAGATGAATCCTGGCAAACATAGTCAATTATTTCAGTATTTTCAAATTGTTCACATTTTTGGCATTGTGAGTTTGAAAAATTGAAAAGCACATTGCCCCCATCAGCAATACAGCATTACCTAGAGAGTCGGTAGCCACTTGAGGCACCAGATCAAGTATGCAGGGAGGAAGTCGTGTTCTCAAGGCCTTTACCCTTGGTCAGGGACTCTTCTCAGATTGAAGAGAGTAACCATATACTGTGAGTAAAGGATCTTTGGCATGATTCCCCCTCCTCTGGGATGGAAAAAGTTGTCAGAAAACTAGTTTGGAGCAAGGGCACATTGCCTCTAGTGAGGCATGCTGACTCAACCTTTAACTGGGTCTCTCAGAGTTTTACCTGGTAGCCTCACAGACTATTGGCTGTGGGACATGATGCTTTTTTTTTTGGTGCTCTTTAATTTGTTTATTTCAAAGATATTTATCAAACACTTACTATTTGCCAAGCAGTTTTGGGAATTGGGCATATAGTACTGAACAAGACAGATAAAGGCCCTTCCCTCTTGTAGTTTTCAAGCTAATATAAATCTGGACTTCTAGGAGCGAGTCTCACAGTTTTGGGCTAGTGTATGAAAAGGAGTAGAAAAATTATTAATATGTGCACATTGAAATGAGGATCATTTGAGCACAGTGGAATGCTGTGGAAGTGGGCTTGTCATTTAAGGAAAGCTCTAGGATTTTAAACTGAATAACAAAGTGCTAAAGAAGGAATGGAATTGAAAAATAGCCTAAGAAAAAAGTATGCGTAAAAAAACATATTGACAAGTTTTTTGTTTTGTTTTGTTTTGTTCCCCCCCCCCCAACCCCCTGGGCTAAAGCAGAGGGTAGAGTAAAGGAGTATTGGGTTAGGGTTCATGGGTAGGGGAAATTAAGCCCCAGGGTATAGTTACAGCGTCTGTTTTATCATATTCTGAGAAATCTGCTTTGATGAGAGCAAGTACAAGTTGTATTGGGAGCAGGGAATTAAATGCTTAGGTTTGCCCTTACAAAAATCTTGACAAAAGAGGGAGTAGCTCTAAAAGTAGGAGAATAGAGGAATGGGATATTTGCCAAAGAGGCAAGCACATATGGATGTTAATGTCAGAGAGTGAGGAAGAGATGGAAATAATCTGAATATAGGATCCTGGAAGTTAGTTGAGAGAAAGGGCATTATGAAGGGTCAGTGTCCCGGTAATGGATTAAGAGTATTGTGTTTTACACGTGACAGCAAGGGCTCTGCACCAGCATTCCCTTACCAGGCTCCGTGTTAATCCGAGGCCCCCATTTGGAAGTTAGCTGACCCTGGTTAAAAGTGGGATCCCTCGCCTTTGGAGCAGTGAAAATGTTTATTAGCCTCAAAGACTGATTATGCTGGGTCCTTATTTGCCTGATTAATCTGCCAAAGGTTAACTGTTGAAGGTTAAGGAGGCGAATGTGTCATTCCAAGATGTCAGATGGGAAAAAGACAGAACAGAAGTGTCTTCTCTGTATATACCACTCATTTGTCAGTCATCGTTACCAGCCTGTTTTACTTCTTGATGCTTGTTGGAGACTTTATGCTTCTTGATGACTTTGTATATCCCACCGAATCCTAGCAGAGTGGACATGTAGTAACTATTTGCAGTGTGATTAACAGTAAGTACTTCTAACCCAAAGTAAGGAGATGAAATGTAGTCCCGGATACCACACCATGTTTAGGCTCCCATATAGTCAGGAGCTCCAAGGTTTCACCTAAATGTCATCTCCCATAGAGCCGACTAGACTTTCCTTTTTAGCCTGTGACCGGGATGAGACCACACCTCAGGCTGCTCCTGGCTGCAGACAGGCGGTGCCTTAATATGCACAAAGCAATCTGCAGATGGGGCATCAGCCTGCCTTCTGTGGCATAATTCCTCTGGACAACCTAACATGGGGATTCAATAAAAATGTACATATATTCGGCGAAGAATGCAACAACAAATGAAGGGAACCCTTGCCTGCCTTTGAAATGGGTGGACCCTGCAACATTGGTCTGTTTGAAGTGGCATCCTAACCCATATGCAGATGCTTCATTTCTGTCTGCCATTACTGGACAAGAGCACTAAGTCCTGATAAAACACATCATTCGCCATGAGCATATCTTCTCAGTTTTTAAGCTTTCCTGATGTGCCATTATTGCTGCTGTGTTTCCTATTTTATGTAGGTGGTAGCCCTTGGAGAGGTACCAGATGGGACTGTGGTTACTGTCATGGCGGGTAACGATGAAAATTATTCTGCTGAGCTCCGAAATGCCTCTGCTGTTATGAAAAACCAAGTAGCAAGGTTCAACGATCTGAGATTTGTGGGCCGGAGTGGACGAGGTAGGTCTCTGATTTTTAATATTAGTAATGGAATAAACACGTTAGGATCCTCTGATGACATGTAGACCAGTCTGTATACAAATCAGCACCCTCTTCTACTGAACTGAGTTATTGAAGGTTTTACTTAAATATGTCCAGATGAAGTGGAGTGTTTTTCTGAGTACTCAGGCCTTTTTCATTTGTTTTATGATATTGAATATTCAAACAGGGTTTTCAGAGAACTCTTCCCTAATTTCATTGGGTGTGAGCACATAAGGTGGAGAGAAGAACAGTTGGAGGTTCAAGTTATGAATTATGAGGAGCCAAATAACTGAGTAAATTTAGTGGCAAAGGGGAAAGAAAAAGGAATGCATTGGATCAATTTCCTCATAATATCACTTTTGCTCTAAGTGGTAGTAAGAACAGTTGGTATACTGCACTTCACTTATCACACATGTTACCTCTGTATGAGTTAATTTATTCTTATGATAAAACTCTTTAAAAATCATAGTTTTTTTTTAAACAAGAGGCTTTTCATTTGAATAAATGAATAATGTGTTACTTGTGTTAGAATGACTATATAGTCGCCTAGACAGATGAATGATCAGGACTTGAAATATTTCCACATTATTTAAGGATCTACACCATCTGAATGCTAATATTCAAATGTTAGGAATCCTTTAAAAAGATCATAAAATAGAAAATAATCTCTTTTAGGTTTTTTTATAGCTATTTTATAGGAATGTTTTTAAAAAAATCTCTAAGGAAACTGATTTTTGGCTTTATTTACTTATTGTATAGAGAGACTTTTAATAGTCATTCTTTAGAAGTATTACGTTCATCTATTTATTTATTGAATCTAATATTTCCATTTTAAGTATTTCAATAATAAGAGAGAAAATAGACCACTTTAGGATTAAGGTGAAATAAATTATAAAGACCTATAGAGTTACTCCAACCCAGGTTTGAATTAGGAAATGAGAAGCATCAATTTTTTAAACCATGTTCAGTAATTGCTCTTTAGTTTGGATCAGATGTCAAATTATTACCATTGTAAAAACTTGATAAGGGAAATTCAAGCAAGACTGTTTCCGATGAGTAGTTTTAGTTTACTTTCTAGGAACAGGGCCAAGAAGTTGTACTTTTTAACTTAAAATAAAATGATGCCTGCTAATGAGATACTGTCACTGAAAGTTTGAAATGAAATGAAGCTCAGGTTGTTTGAAATGAAATGAATCGCAGGGCCTATGGTAGGTAGAATCAAAATTAAAGGGGTTATTTCTGCATCAGGGTTAGTTTACTTTCATTAAAAAAAAAAAGACACTTCCTCTCTCACTATTGACTGATTAGGTGTGAAGTGTGTATGTGTATGTGTTCATTCTTTTTTTCTCTCTCTCAGTTATTGGTGCAGGTCCACAGCACCATTAAGCTTTTTTTTTTCCTACTAAAAATCAAGAAAGATTTGAACATGATGATATACCTGTATGCTCTGAAGTACATTGTTCCTCTTATGTAATATTACTTTGTTGTTAACTAGAGTAATGAATTTTAGTATCTCAAAGATTGGGCATTGTACTTTTTTTACTTTACAGATTCAAGCTAGTGCTTTCATTTATCTTGCTTTTGTATTATGTAGATGCTGCATAACTTTTCTCTGATCAATTTGAGTAGAAACTATGGCAAAGTGATAGTGTACTTTGTAAACCCTCAACATATTTATTTAAGGAACTTCAAAGAGAAACAAAGGGTGTGCACTGTTTTACTATATTGGCTTTCTGAGTTTTGGCTGGTTTCCCAAATAGCAATTTTTATATTTAAAAAAAAAAGACAGACTTAACTGCTTGCAGACTTTTCACGCATGGAAGATGAAGAAAGCTTCTTTTGATGAAGTGTAATTATGTCCAAACAGAGCTGACCCCCTCCCCCTATATTTCTTATGATCTTAACTGAAGAAAGTAGGATTTTTCCTTTGAAGCAGCCGGGACTTGGTGGAGGATCTGAAATGCTACAGTCTGCTGCCAGAGGCAGGATGGAGAAATTGGTCCAGACTTGTCTTTGAGACTTAGATGGGGAGTGGGGGGAGCGGGTGGAGAGAGAAAGAAAAATTGATTTATCACTAATAATAGATTTTTATATCACTACATTAACATTCTATGAAAGGAAACAGTAATATCAAGCTGAAATGAAGAGTGAAATAGGACAGAGAACATTGATAAGGGATACCACTCTTTGGGGAGAAAAAAAAAAAGGTCAGTTTTTCGGTGGCAGGAAGCTCTTTAACCTGCCTGTGTACCTGACCTGCTTTCTAACAGACTCTTTCTAGCTTCCTCTTTGATTTTCACAGTTCTGTATTTCTCTTAAGTTATTAAGTCTGGATCAGCACGCTGCTACCACTGTTATTTTCCCCCAGCTATTTAAACATTTCTCTTTTCAGTAGCATTTGAAAAATAACACCAAGTTCCCCAAATTACTATAGTTTTTCTTTCCACTGGTAGAAATAAAAACTCAGAAATTGAAAACCAGTTTTGGATTTATCAAGGCGTCATATCACTACTTACTTTGGCTTTATGGGTTATCTCCTGACCACAACTTCTGGAAGTGCTTTGGAATAGAAGTAGAACATCAGTGAAACAGTTAGGAGTGGCTTATGTGTTCTCCTTGTCTTTTGTATTTTAAACAGAAGAATGTAAGATGCCTAGGGTCCTTAAGCTTTCTTGGTGTGCATCCTCACTTTGGACATCAAGCATGCTGCTCTTAATTTACAAGCATTCTAAAAAGCACCTATGGTATACAGAGCCTGGGACTTTGTCCATTTAGGCTGCAGTCCCAGCTTACAGTCTTAGCCCTCCTGCTGACTGTTCCTGACAGCCCCTCAGGTTAGGTTGGAATTGACTTTTAATGGCAGTTCCTATGTTTATTTTAGAAAGAAATATATGAATGATACAGTAAGAGCCTGCATTTTAAAGTAGGAGCCTGAATTTTTATCATTTATAGAAAGTGATAAAAAGTGGGATTTGGAAAAAGTGTTTTTTTTTAACATTAAGGAAATAATAAATACTCACATAAACACTTGGCTTAGGAAATGTATTATTATTTATAAGGTGGAGAACCAATTACCTAGATGGGTGGTAGTTTCTGGAGCACTACCTTCATGTTCTTCCTGAAGGAGCACAAAGAAGGGGAAAGAACCTCCTTGATTTTTGTTTTAGTTGTTAAAGTACATCTTGATCCTTAGGATTTGATTTTAGAAGACTGTAGTCATTTCCTCCTCCCAAGCCCACTTCTTTTAAAAAGAGGTCTTCATAGAAAACTGGTTCCACTTTGAACATTTAGATGCTTTATCCTTACAGAGTGAATTCTGTATTTGGCTTTTGTCCCTCCATGAGGTGTTTCTCTGAATTTGGGATCAGCATCAATGACGTTTAACATCCTATGTAAGTTCCAAAGGTCTCAAATGGAAATATTCTCAGAACCAGTTGAAATAAATTCATGGACAGTAGCTCTAGCAGGTTATTTACAGACGTTAAAGACACTTGGGATATATACTAGTACATCCTCGATATATTGAGATTAGCCAGGGATGACAACTACTTTCCAAGAGATGCAGTTCTGACTCACAACCATTGATATAACCCAGGATGGCATCTTTTTATAGTTTCATGTAAATTAACTTTTGGGCCTAGGGATTCCGCCTGTTCACTCCTCCAGACAGATCTCCCCATTGTGTTGAGGTCCTGACCTGGATCCAGTGGCTTTCTATTCAACTTTCTAATCTTGATTTCTGTGGGTTTTAAGTTTTCTGTAACTAGTTTAGACTCCTGGCTGTCTTATTCTTCTGGTTAGTTTTAATGTATATAATAAATCCTGTTCTCTAATGAGATAATTAAACCACTTACATCCATGTAACATCCAGTATATAATAATGAGCTATGATATATTAATGACACTAAGAATAGATGCTTTCATCATCTTGGCCAAGATAGGGTGTTAGTAGATTTATATTTACTGTTTCTTGGTCTTATAGAGTATATTGGGACACATGTAGAAATAAATTACCTATTAATTTTTTTAATGTTTTCTGGCAATGTTAAAAAGAAGAGTATTCATTCTGGGGTCTGGAAGAACTAGGTTCAGATTCTGACTTTTTCCACTTATTAGCTGTGTGGGTAAATAACTAAAGCCTCTGAGCTTCATTTTTTTTTCATATGTGAAAAGAAGGTGATAAACTTAACTGATAGGATCAAATGAGGTCGTGTGTATAAACCTGGCACTTCATAGGTTTCTAATCAATATTCATCTTCCCCTTCCTTGCATTCCTGTGTTTTCTTTCTTCCCCCCCCCTTCTCTTGGGTATAGAAAAGTATAGCTAAAGAGACTTAAAACTATATATCCTGAGTAACAAATGATGTGTGTCTTAAACATATTTTAGGAACTTATATGGTTTGGGTTGAAAAGAAAACCCATTCACTAGACTTGACAGTCAAAGACCTGTTCCACATTAAGCCTTGTATATAACCTGTTCCATATTAAGCTTTGAAAAGATTGCATTAAACTTTGCATTGATACATATTGTTTCAGATTTGTGTTTTGATTTAATACCCTCAGCTTTCAGTAAAGGGAAAAAACAGTCTCTGACCAAAAAACAAAGCAAAGCAAAATGAGCTTTTTAAAGGTCTGTTACAGACCAGGCTAAATGAGTACTCTGGCCTGAGATTGCTGAATGTTTTATTGAGTCACTGTTTCACGCCCACCTTTTCCTGTCTTGTAACAGTTTGCAGTTTTGACTATCTGACATGACTAACCGTTGCAAATCTAACTGATTACAACTGTCAGTGAGTCTGTGTAACAGAGTCTGGTATCCTCTGCTGGAGAAAGAAAGAAACCCTAATCTGCTACCAAACTTTTCCCTGTCTTTCCCCCTCCATTCATCACTTGTAGTTCATTAATGAGAAACATCAGATGTAATATTTCCATGAAGCACACCCTCTGCTAAAAGCAAAACTTCATATTTATATTGGGAGGTGTCCTGTACATTTAGCAAAAATAAGTCACTGTCAGGGAGTTATTTGAAGATTTAGCAGCAAGGATGTATGTTAGGGGAGGGGTGGGCAGGGAGGAGAAAATCTTTGTTCCAGTAATGATGAAATCATCATACCACAGGCACATTAAGGCCCGGACAGGAGACACTGGCTCCTGTTAAAATGATTCCCATAAGAACCTTCCTCTTTCATCTTCTTATTGTAGTGCAGTTGAGCAAATGAAATGCTAAAGCCATGTGAAGTAAATAACATAATCAACAGTGATTTACTATTGTTCTCTCAAGGGGTCATGACCTAATCCTAAATAAAGACTTCTAAAATTGTCTGTGCTTGGATGTGTTCCTGATGTTGGAGAAAACTGAAAGGAAGAGAACCTCTTCAAGTGGACCAGGGTTTTTGTTTTCATTACAACTATTGCTACTGAGCAGGTTTTCCTTTTCTTTTCTTTTCCTTTCTTTCTTTTTTCTTTTCTTTTTTTTTTTTTTTAGATTGGAGCTGCCTTGTATGGTACTACAATGAAGATGAAGCTCTCAACACTCAATGAGTTCACTAACTTCCTAGAGTGGCCATCAAAGAGATTCTATCTTAGAATAAGGCGTCTTATTTGTCTTTGTTTCATTACCAACTCAGAGATAACTTAGATGAAGTTTGCACATCTGTGCTGTTATATTGTCATCGGTATTATCTTTTTATACTCACCATGGATTTTTCTCTTTTACCTCTGCAGGCAAGAGTTTCACCTTGACCATAACTGTCTTCACCAATCCTCCCCAAGTAGCCACCTATCACAGAGCTATTAAAGTTACAGTGGATGGACCCCGGGAACCCAGAAGTAAGTCCTTGCCTTCCTGTTGGAAATGGTAATAGAGTTTGCACAGACCCTTTGAGGAAATTATCCCAAATAAGGTAGTGCTACTTCCATGTAAACAGTTTCTTTGTGAAGTTTGCTATCTGCATGTATTTTTAGTGAGGGACAGTTAGTACAACTTCACAGATGGTAGAAAAAGAAATCATACTCTTAACCTTTGCCACAAAATTGCTAAGGCCTACATAACTTTGAGAAATGAGTAACTATTTTCTAAGAGATTCTACTCATCCACTGTACCCACTAGACAGGGCAGATCAGACCCATGAGAGCTGAGGAAGAAAATAATAAACTGAAAACTCTTGAGCTTAGTCAAAAAGCATCTGCGTATGTTTCCCATGGTCTAAGAATGTGTTTTAACTTTTTACCTCGCCCACTCAATTCCCTTTATAAAGAGCACACTGCTTAATTACAAAGAATGTATTTGCAAACGATAACTTGCTTGATTGTTACAACACTGTTGTTTGGTCATGTTCTAGTAATTGTTATAGATAGTTTCTTTTAACATATAGAGTCCAACCAGGTTTAAATCCATCTTGGTTTATTTGTCTGTCTGGGCATCCAGAAGGTTTAATTAACCAGCAGCAGTTTAAGGAAGTGCACATAATTCGTTTGGGCTAATATACATTTTCCTCCTAAATCTGAATTGAAACTGGTTTGGTTTCCCCCTCCCCCAAACTGATTTGAACAGACTTGACATAGCAGCATTTAAATGTATTTAGAGATTAATGATTATTTGCCATATACAACATTAAAAATTCTGTGCCAATGGAAACATCGCATAGGACTCTGCCTTTGATGAGTGAATACATCGGAGACCTAGCCATTGTGTTCAGAGTTTAGTTTGGTTTGTGTGGGGGTACACCTGGCAGAAATATTTGTTATATAACAATACACCTGCCTAGACAGGGAGCGTGGCATCTCCTTTCTTCCCCTAAAACCGAGAGAAAAGGGCTGGTGAATGGTGCCTCGGCCCAAGTGGGAGCATACGGTGCCTTCCGTTCCTCCTGCGGCTGTCTCTCTTCACAAAAGCTGACTGCTTGCCTGAACGAGGGAGGTTTCCTGCCTCAGAAGCCAGTCTTTGAGGTTTTTCTTTTCTCCTTTCATGTGTATGGCTTTCTTCCAGGTTCCCAATGTTGGGTCAGTGCTGGCTCTGTCTGTTCAGTTTGAGAAGGTCCTATTAGGCGCTAGCCATACACTTGTCTCCGGCTGCACCAAGTCTCCATGCCTAGGGGCCAGTGGTTATGCAGTGCAGGGGAATAGAACAGAGCGGGGCTGTCTAGCCCGGTTCGGGGCCTTGCCTGACTTTTCTGGACTGCCATAAATCTGGGTGATGCCTTACGATGGGAGACATCTTCTAACATTTGATCTAATTAGCCCTTGAGTTCCTGAAAAGGCAGGGACATCCATTTTAGTAAGGCACAAAGCGGGAGAGTAGTCTTTGAACATTTAGCCCTACGAATGCTTATCTTTTAAAGATGTTTCCTGCCGATCTCAGCTGCTTTTCTTAGTTCTTGGAAAAACCATTATTGTGCGTGTGTGTGCGTGTGCCTCTCTGTGTGTCTCTGGGTATGTATCTGTGTGTGTTCATACACTCAAGACTTGATGCTTAAAAGCTGATGAGTGGGAGAGGAAACAGGGAAGGGTGCGTGCTGCCACATTCTGAAAGATGTGACAGAAGGTAGCATTGGGAAAGTCACTTCTCTTTCAAGTGAGAATAACATGACTTTGTTCCAAAGAGGCTGTTGGCAGTATTAATTAGTGGATGGGCTCAATGCCCTGTAAAGGCAAACAAGTGAGGATTAGGGGTAGCAGTGGTAGATGGTATGTGTGTGACCTGAGATCAAGCTGTGGGTGCTGCTGAGGGTGCTGAGGGTGTGAGGGGGAAGCAGATACAGATCTCGAGTGGCCGACTACTGCCCTAGATCAGCCTGAGTGACATTTCTCCAGAACCAAAAGTATCTGTGAAAATGTGACATCATTTCTCTGACATCATGAGGTGACTAAGTGTCCGGATATAGGGATGGGTCTGGTTTCAGTAACATCTTAACCCTACAACCTGGACCTACTGTGCGGGGTTATTTCCTTCTGCCCTGCTCTTGGCCACCCTGGGCACTAGATGTAGTATTGCATGTTTCCCAATATTGTTCTTTAATTTTGAGACTCACAGATGTGAAAAATGCCCAAGATTTTCAATTTTTTCAACTGTGAGCATAGTAGGAATTTGTTGGATTAGTGTGTGTATATAATGTTAAATGATAAAACTTCTAGAACAGCGGTTCTCAACCTGTGGGTCGAGACCCCTTTGGGGGCCAAACGACCCTTTCACAGGGGTCGCCTAAGACCATCAGAAAACACATATATAATTACATATTGTTTTTGTGATTAATCACTATGCTTTAATTATGTTCAATTTGTAACAATGAAAATACATCCTGCATATCAGATATTTACATTACCTGGGGAGATTCATAACAGTAGCAAAATTACAGTTATGAAGTAGCAACGAAAATAATTTTATGGTTGGGGGTCACCACAACATGAGGAACTATATTAAAGGGTCGCGGCATTAGGAAGGTTGAGAACCACTGTTCTAGAACATGGTTTGGCAAACTTTTTCTCTGAAGTGCCAGATAGTAAATACTTTCAGTTCTGCGGCCATATGATCTCTGCTACGAGTACTCACCTCTGCCATTGTAGCTCAAAGGCAGCCTTAGCCAATACATAAATGAATGCTTGTGGCTGTGTTTCAATTAAACTTTATTTATAAAACCAAGCGATGGGTCAGACTTGGTACACGGGTTGTCGTTTGTCAACTCTTGCTCTAGATCAGTGATTTTCAAATAGCATGCTACAAGAATTTTTAAAACATGCAATACCTGACCTCTTTTCCCTTAGATTGTCAAATAAAAAAATGATAACAGCCAACACAACAATAGCTGTCTGGCGTGAATGAATCAAAATTATACCTTTTTTTTTTGTCAGATTGGTAAAAACATAATCTATTTTTTGGTGTACCACAGAATTTTAGTAATGTGTGCCATGAGATGAGAAAGGTTGAAAATCGCTGCTCTAGATTTCAGAAAGGTTTATTTTATTGACTGTTAACAGAGAAGGGCTATAGAAAAAGGCTTTTATGAGGGGGAAAAAAAGACAATTAATGCAATTGTTTCAGCCTCCTCTCCCACAAAATTATAATTCTTTAAGTAATGGTTGTCATAGAAATAGTGTACATCTGTTTATTACTCTAATGGTTTGAAGTTGAGGATCCTGCACTATTGATTCCTGTAAAGAAATTTCACTCTTTGAAGAGACTACTTCTGGTAGATCAGCCATTTGAACAAGGACAAGTTCTGGGTTAACTGGCTGGGTCTTTATTCAGCATAGCTTAGTGATTAAAGGTGTGGGCTTTGGTGTCCAGCTGTCTGGATTGAAATCCCAGCTCCACTTACTAGTTGTACGGTGGTAGGCAAGTGACCCAACTTCTCTTTGCCGCAGTTTGCTCATCTGTTCAAAGGAGAATACTAATAATAGTATCTTCTCCATCAGTTGCTGTAAAGATGTTAAATGCTGTGGTGCATGTAAAATGCGTAGGGCAGCGATTGTCATGTAGTGGGTGCTCACTACGTGTTGGCTTTTATTACAGCAATTTCCTTCAGTGTCAGGCGTTTGTTGTGAGTTTTGCTTATAGCATGCGTCCAGGAAATAGATACCATCTAGATTCAGTTCTCCAGTGAATTATTTTTTTTCCTTGCAGATGGCTTTACTAATTTCTGCTCATTAGTACATGACACTAATAAGTGTTATAAATTGTGTCTTGAGCAGGTATCCATGCTGCCTGGAGACAGCTGTGCAGAACTGATAACTTTGCAGCAAGGCAAAGTCCGAGAGAGGATGCTAGGGCCCCAATGCCCCCTCTGAGGCCCTGGTTATCAACACATCTGCCAAAACTTGCTTTTCAGTCAAAAATCAGAACGGTTTTATCCTTCTGTGTTTTCTGTCTCTGGCAGCTGAACCGGCGCTGTCACATCACAAACAACTTCTCTTCTTAATATACACATCTGGCGTTGGCAGTTGGACTCACTTCATAAGAGCACATGATCATCACTCATTACAAGATTAAAAAGTACCCCATGGCATCATTGATGTTTTTTAACTTTGATCTTTCGCAGTTGTGATTCATCTCAGTTATAAAACTTCCCTTTAAAGGAACATAGCCGATGACTTATTAGAACCTTCATCTTAAGTAGCGTAAACATGAAAACGGTGCACATCTTTACAAAATGCCATTTATTTTCTTTGCCAGCTTATCATTTTAAGACATGACATCATACTTAAGATCCCAAATTTGTAAGTCTTGTGTTTAGGCAGGGGGTGTTGACCTCCTGTTGGCAAGTTAGCTCTGAGGAGCAACTGCCGTGTGTTCGCCAGCCGGAGAAGTCCGCAGAGCGGCGGCAGCAACAGTAATGCATTTGGAGACCTGACCCTTTTACACATCAGTTTCTATTAGGATCCTGTGTTGCATGGATGCTCTGGGTTCCAACTGCGGTCTGATTTAAAGGATTTCTACCAGAAGGTGAAAACTGGGTTAGCAGTGTCCTATTCTATGTCGAGGGAAGAGGATTGATGGTAAAGGCGTTGTTGGCTGTGCAGGGCATGGAAAGATAAGCTGCCTTACACGGTCAGCATCCTTTTACCTCTCTTGCCTCTTTTCCAGTTATCTATTGCTAGATAACACCCATCCCAAGACCTAATGGCTTAAAACAACAACAACCATTTTACTATTTCTCACGATTCTGCGGGTTGACGGATTCATCTGGGTGGGCGTTCTGCAGTCTCGCTTGGGGTCTTTCATGTGGCTGCGGTAAGATGGTGGCTGATGCTGGAACATTCACGATGGTCTCGTTCACATGCCTGGTGCCTTGGTGGGGTGTCTGCAAGGATAGGCTTGGCTGGAATGATGGACA